GGGGCTGGTTCCCCTCCCACTTCAGCCCACGGGGCCCTCCGGGATAGGTGGCCCCACCCGGTGGACCCCCGGGACCCTTCCGGTGGTCCCGGTACAATACCGGGTGACCCCGAAACTTTCTCGATGGCCGAAACAGCACTTCCTATATATAATTCTTTACCTCCGGACCATTCCGGAACTCCTCGTGACGTCCGGGATCTCATCCGGGACTCCGAACAACATTCGGTTTGCTGCATACTCATATTCATACAACCCTAGCGTCATCGAACCTTAAGTGTGTAGATCCTACGGGTTTGGGAGATATGCAGACATGACCGAGACGGCTCTCCGATCAATAACCAACAGCGGGATCTGGATACCCATGTTGGCTCCCACATACTCCTCGATGATCTCATCGGATGAACCACGATGTCGAGGATTCAAGCAACCCCGTATACTATTCCCTTTGTCAGACGGTATGTTACTTGCCCGAGATTCGATCGTCGGTATCCCAATACCTCGTTCAATCTCGTTACCGGTAAGTCACTTTACTCGTACCGTAATGCATGATCCCGTGACCAGACACTTGGTCACTTTGAGCTCATTATGATGACGCACTACCGAGTGGGCCCAGTGATACCTCTCCGTAATACGGAGTGACAAATCCCAGTCTCGATCCGTGTCAACCCAACAGACACTTTCGGAGATACCTGTAGTGCACCTTTATAGTCACCCTGTTACGTTGTGACGTTTGGTACACCCAAAGCACTTCTACGGTATCCGGGAGTTACACGATCTCATGGTCTAAGGAAGAGATACTTGACATTGGAAAAGCTCTAGCAAAACGAACTACACGATCATGTGCCATGCTTAGGATTGGGTCTTGTCCATCACAACATTCTCCTAATGATGTGATCCCGTTGTCAACGACATCCAAATGTCCATAGTCAGGAAACCATGACTATCTGTTGACCAACGAGGTAGTCAACTAGAGGCTTACTAGGGACGTATTGTGGTCTATGTATTCACACGTGTATTACGATTTCCTGATAATACAATTATAGCATGAATAAAAGATAATTATCATGAATAAGGAAATATAATAATAATCCTTTTATTATTGCCTCTAGGGCATATTTCCAACAAGAATCGCCAAAATCGCCATCCGGCAGACACTGTAGCAAGAGCGGCTATGTGTAGCGACGGCCACGGGCGGGTCAATGCGAAAGTGATACCAATCTGGTGCTGCAAATATGTCAAACGCCACAAGTCTTTATCTTGAGCCGACACACGGAGAGACACAAGATGACAGTCTAGTGTGATTGTTGCCTTCTCTCATAAATAAAAGAAGTCTACTCCCTCCGTTTAGGTGAGTAAGTCATCTTAGATTGTGCACCATGATCAAGGAGGAGGGAAAAATCAGAGACCTTAATGTTTATTTGCTAATTAATAGCATTGCATGCAATGAACTAACCACTGCATGTTGTGTTTCGTAGTCTCAAATCATTAAAAGCACGCACACCCCTCGTCTCTTATTGGTTGATATGTGAAGAAATAAGAAACGAGATAGAAGTTAATGCACCGCGCCTAAATGTTTTGGAATTATTTGATTTTCGTAAGATGACTTACACACCTAGACGGAGGGAGTAAATTAGTCTGAACATCATCGTAATCATAATAAATAGCATTAAGCTAGTACTCTCTTCGTCCGGAAATACTTGTCATCAAGATGAATAAAAAAAGATATATCTAGACATATTTTAATTATAGATAGTACATCTTTTTTGTCTATTTTGATGACAAGTATTTTCGGACGGAGGTAGTACGTAGACAATTAGTGTGGAACAGCACCTATAAAGCATGGCACACTATCCTCCCCTTCTGTCAAATTTTTGGGCTGGACACGTAGGCTATCCGCCATTTGTTCCGTGGATGTATTTCGAGCTAGTTGTATTTTCTTTTTTAGAAAAAAGCTTAATAAATTTCACAACTCCTGTTTTTGGACTTATAGTCGTACGGATTGTGTCACGGCTGTGTGGCTCAACCACGGTCCCTCGTGTATTGAAGCTCTTTTGCTTTTTGATTTTAACCCCGTAATTTTAAAATAAAATTTCCTTTTCACTTAGAACAAATGATTGGCGTGAGATGCTAAGTCACCCTCGCCACATATATATACGGACGCACTTGGACTTCAACAAACAATGGATACCTCCTTTAAAAAAGTAACAACAGAAATGACAAATCCCCAAAGCCCATGACAAACCCATCTTTTATTGCAAGTTTAGGGTCTCTTTGATTCAAAGGATTTTCATGGGATTTTTGAAGGATTAGAATCCTTAGGAATTTTCCTAACGTTTGTCGTTTGATTCGTAGGATTGAATCCTGTAGAATTTTTTTCCTAAGGATTCATTTGTACTACATTTCACATGAATTCTAACATCCACTCAAAGCTCTTGAAAGAAATCCTTTGTTTTTCCCGTGACACAATCAAACAAACACAAATCCCATAGGGATCCAATGGACATGCCATTCCGATCCTACATTTTCCCTATTCTTGTGCTTTTGCAATCCTATGAATCAAAGAGGCCCTTAGTTTTCTTTTGCAGGAAAATTTCCGATCTATTCATTCTCAATTATGGTACTATAACGGACAAATGAAATAATAAAAATTATATTCACATCCGTAGACCACCCAACAACGACTACAAGCACAGAAGTGAGCCGAAGGCGCACCGTTGTCATCGCCCCTCCCTCGCCGGAGTCGGGCAAAACTTGTTGTAGTGGACAGTTGGGAATGTTGTCGTGTTAAGATCCCATAAGACCAGCGCAACAGAACAACAACCGCCGCCGATGAAGAGTAGCATAGACTAAAAGAATCAAATCTGAAGACACAATAACAAAGACGAACGGCAAACAGATCCTAGCAAACCCACTAAAACAGATCTGCCGGAGACACATCTCCACATGCCCACCGACGATAGTAGAAGCACCACCGAACGGGTCCTAGCCGGGGAGAACCTTATTCCAACTTCAGGGAGTCGCCGCCGTCTTGTCTTTCTGAGCAGGACACAAATACTAACAAAACTAGAAGAAAGAACTAAAAACATAGCCCTCCCACCGGCAAGGGTCAGGATCCACTCTGCTCCCATGGCGCTAAGACCATCGGAGATAAAGCGGACCGATGACGACGCCGACAGGAGGCAAAGAAACCCTAGGTGTTTAGGTGAGCCAGAAATCCCCAATTCGCTCACCTTCTATAGCAAGTTTAGTTGACGCAAAGATGACAACTTTTGACAAGCACAACAACATCCCGACAGAAAAAAAACACTTAGGACAAAAATACCATGCTTACCAACTATTGTCAATTCTAGCAGATACTCCCTCCGTTCAGAAATACTTGTCAAAGAAATGGATAAAAATGGATGTATCTAGAGCTAACATATGTCTACATACATCCATTACGCCGACAAGTATTTTCAGACGGAGAAAGTATAAATTAAGGGCGGGACTATCTTTGCACTAGTTTAATGGGCGTTTT